TACTCCTTAAGGTATCTTTTTAAAGATACATATAAGAGCCTAATTCAGATATGATAGTGACAGAATTGTATTTATCAGTAATTAGAAGATTTGAAGCTTAGCCATGTGTTCTGAGCAGATGGCTGAGTTGGGCAAAGCCCACTGTATTTCAAAGCTTTAATGAGCTCAGTTACCCTCTTAGTATATGGTTTCCTTCTTTCCCCAGGTGGTTTTTAATATGTAACTGTGAGTAAAGTTTGATGTAACTTCTGTCTCTCCAGGTGAAGATGGAGCAGGTAAAACTAGCTTAATAGGAAAAATTCAAGGAATAGAGGAATACAAAAAAGGAAGAGGAATGGAGTATTTGTACTTAAACGTGCATGATGAAGATCGAGATGGTAAGTTTTTATTTCTAATAATATCTTAAACCAATTTGAAAGAAAAATCAGGAGTGTAATACTTGGAATGACAGTGGGATGTTTTTCTTTCTTTATAAGTTGCAGGAGTCCAGCTTAGGTCACAAGTAATTTGTATCCTGAGGAAGTTTCTTAGTGTAATTCCTTTAGTATATGCCATGAAGCAGTCAAAAGAAAAGGCTGGGGAAAAAAATAAGAGCAGGGAAGCAGTCTTAGCTGCAGTGTTCTGGATAGGTGCATATTCCTCAGCCCTAGAGGAAAAGGTGCTCTTACCTTGCATCTCAAATACTGTAGCAAGTATTTTTCTGTTTTTGAATATACAGAGAAGCTTTTGTCCTGGTGGTATGAGAATCTGCAAGATTATGTATCATAAATTGATACATAGGAAAATATGCACAGTGCTAAAGGAGATTTAAAAAACAAACAACAAAAGACCCCCAAACCACCAACACAAAAATTTGGAGGAAAGAGAAATAAGTAAAAGGTGTATTTCAACTGGCTTGAGTTTGCTTATGGCTAGAAGATAAAAAAGATGTTTAAGATCCTGCCTCAATATACCTGCAGTTATGGGATTGATATTTACTGCTTATATATGGGGAAACAAGGGAAGGAGTATAACCAGGTTCTGTAGAGGTGCAGTGAATTATCTAGATGGCAATACTTAGTGGGCTGTGCATAAGGACATACTGGGAGCTGTGGAGAAAAATGGGAGCTCTTGTCTTAACTGTATGACCAAATACAGATAGAAGGAGAAGCAGAACCAGAAGTTGGACCTTTCCTGATTCCCATGTCTGGCTGGTGGTCTCCAAGATGATTTGACCAGGGTTAAGAGGATTGGGTGTTTGCTGTCTGGGGAGAAAAAAGCAGTGGGATAGGTCTGTCTGTATGGTGATTGGCGGATTGCAAATCTGAAAAAATAACTTTATCCATAAAGTCCATCTAAATAATGAAAAACTTGCAGTTCTACTCCAGTTTTCTGAAGGGCCAAGGTACATTCTGTACTTCAAAAAAACCTATAGGTGTATCACATTGGAGTTTTGAAGGGGGGATGGCAGTCCTTGAACTGACCAGGCAAAGGGCTGAGAAAGGGTGGCTTAGTTCACCCAATTCTCCCCTTCTGAGTTGCATCTTGAAGAAAACTTTTTCCATCTCTAAACTGGTGAACATTAATTTTGGAAATGCCGAATGCTGTCTCTGGATTCTCACTTACAAATAATGAATTTAACATCTTCATTTACCAGCCATTAAACATCAGGGTCTGGAAGACAAGGAGCTTGTCCCCAAAAGCTGTAGTTTGCTCTGTTGCTATGCATTTTAATTGATTGATAAAACAAGTCAGCTGCTTTCTTCCTTATATTTTATATGTCTGAAGAAGATTTAATAGCTCTGTTATGTAGTGGACTGTTTCTAGTAAGTCTCATAAAATGTTTTTCCTTTGTAGACCAAACAAGATGTAATGTATGGATTTTAGATGGTGACTTGTATCACAAAGGTCTTCTTAAATTTGCAATGGAAGCAAGCTCTCTAAAGGACACTCTAATTATGTTGGTAGTAGACATGTCTAGGCCTTGGACTGCACTGGATTCTTTACAAAAATGGGCGAGTGTTGTAAGAGAACATATTGACAAGTTAAAAATTCCTCCTGAAGAAATGAAAGAAATGGAACAGAAGTGTGAGTATTCTGCAAATATGTAGGAATCTATTTAATCAAATATGCTTAATGCTTTCTGCACCATTTAATCTCTCCATTACAGTTGTTTTCATGCTTTGAAAATGTTACTTAAAATTAGGAGTTACCAAGCAAGTCAAGCTTCAGATAAGTCTCAATATGTGAGTGATACTGGTATTTCTTTTTAACGGAAGTAGGGGTGGAATTTAGGGGTGGAAGGTTTCAGAATGAGCAGAGCTGATTGTACATTCTTGCGTCTTACAGCTTTTCTAGGTAAGATTCTCGAAGCGAAAAAAAAAAGAAAGCTTCTTAGCTTTCAATTATTTATGTATCTATTTTAAAGGCAAATCACTGCATCAGCTTCTTAACTGTTCCTGTAATTAGTCAATCTAGAGAAACTGAGACCTGTTCTCTGCCTACCAGAAGTGTAATTGTTGGGAGGATTCATGACATTGCCCTAATGTGTGGGCCCTTTCAATTTGAAGAGTTTTATCATTATTATTGACAGTAATGCAGCTGTAGTTTTGTTTTGGCATAGATATGATCTAGCTTTTTGTCCTCTTAGTTTTAAACATGCAGAACACAAAGATTTTGCAGGATTCCTTAAGCTATATGACTGAACTCACTAACATAATTCCATATTACTTCTGGGCAGCCTCTGTGTTTCCCTGAGGGTACTAAGACATGAGCCTTTGCTGTTCATCTCTCTGAATCACTACAAGGAAGAGTGTTTGAGAAAGCCATGGGTTAAGATCAAATAGCATGATTAAACTTTGTGAGTAAGTCTGAAGTTGCTCTCTGGAACTGTATGTTCTTAAGCAGTTGACTGCCAGTTTGCTGAATAGCTTTTTCAGCAGTGAAAGTTGTAGCTCTGCTGTGATAAAGTAGTCCATGAGGTGGCAGTTGTAGATACTCTGGGGGGAGTCTGCTTATTCTTTTGAGAGACAGATTCTTTTAAGGGAAGTATCATCCCTGAGAATCGTATTTTCCACAAGAAGAACTTGTGTAGGAAGGAGGAGCTGAGAAATCCTGGATGTGTTTTTTGGTTCTGTTTGGTTTGTTTTCTAGGAGTGGTGTAGGTGTGTACATATTGAACACCTTCCAGACAGTTTCAGGATAGGATTTTACTGGATGAAAGCAGTAAGGATGCAACATGTCTGTTATCAAAAATGTGTAGCTGAGAGTTTTCTTCTTTACTCATGGAGTGAGCGGAACAGTGAAACTCTATAAAATCCAGAAAATGTGATTGAGTCAAGAAAAACAGCTACTCATTAGAAGTTTTGTCTGCTCTGTTGTTCTTTTGTCATCTGCTTAATTCTTACAGATACTGATGGTATGCGACTTGGGTGTAAGAGAAGCCCTGGACACAATCCAGATATGACTGGAAGCTGCTTTTGTTTTGAACTCTTGTAATGTGGCTTCACGCATTGCTAGGTGGGCAGCAGCCTGATATTGCCAAGAGGAGGAGGGAGGAATCTTGTTTGCCTGACTTCTGGCTGTATGGTCCTACTTAATTCTTGTGCCAGGCTCAGTGCTCCTGAGAGGCTCCTGTGAGCTGACTTAATGTGCTGACAGGACTGAAATCTACTGAGGGTTTGTGTGTGTAGTTTTCTGGAGGTGTGCTGCTGTTTTCCTGTTCTAGCAACTTCATTCTACTTATAAACAGACCCTGTGTGGAACAAGACTGGTATGGGAAGGCATTAGGAGATACCTACCAGCTGTGTCTGAAAGGTTGGAATAGCTCTTCCTGTTACAAAATTCTTCTGAGCCTTGTAGCCTGTTCACTTTAATTGTGAAGAAAGCTTCTAGCGCTGCAGTAGTGTGACTTTTATCTTAGGCATGTAGTTTTCCCAAAGCAGACAGGATGCTGTGTAGGAAAGGCTCCCTAGAGTGGCTGGCGTATCATGGTAAGAGCTCTGCATTTAAAACATGGTTAATTTGGGAGGCTTGGAACTCAGTCCAGACTGAAGTAGCAGCATTCCCTGAACATAAGAGCCTAAGTTGTCTGTTCAAGTAGAAATGATAATCAGTGCATGTGCTTTTTGTTACTGTAAACTCAAAGAAAATCTGTGGAAAACTTGAATAATCTTGGCGTAATACATCTTTTTCTCTAAGGTGCTGAAATAAGTCTTGCTCTGGTAATTCAGCTAACACTTTGCTAGGTATGAACTTGGAGGGTTTCAATCAGTTTAGTGAAGGTGTAGCAGTGGATAATGTGAATCAGAGGAAAGCAGTGAGAATGTACTGGAGTACTTAGATGCTAGTGGGCACAACGCAGCTGATTTGTCTTAATCCCTGATTTTTTTTGGCTGAATTGGGGTGTGCTACTCGTGGAAAAGTAATCAGTAGTGGGGTTTGGTAGAATGCTGTCTGTTAGGTGAAACAGGACAGTTGGTGTGAAATGCACAGATGTTTTATGCCTAATACTCCATCCCTGATTATAGGAATAGAAAGTGACCATGTGATTATAGTGTTTTGGGTGTGTGCACTGGAACCTGACAGGAAAAAGTTAGCCACACTTGTTAACTTTATCTTTTTTTTTCTAATTCTTGTTATACTCTGACTTGCTCTCTTGCTAAATTTTAAGTAGTGTCTGAACTATTGTAAAAGCATACAAAATATTTCATATGGTATTAAGTAATTCTAAAGCTAGTTAATAATTCATGTTTGTGTATTCCATTCTTTTTACTTATTACTACTGTAGGTTCACTGTACAGAGAGAGGGAAGTGAAGGGGTTTTAGGTAAAACCTCATGCAGAAGCAGCTAAGCTGCTGTGTAACTCTTAATTCTGTTAGTTGTAACAAACCATTCCATTAATTTTGCCAAGAAAAATGGAACAAAACATTTCAAACAATAATAGTTAATAGCAACTGCCAAGTGGTTCCACAGTGGTAAAATAAAAATGGTTCAATGCTGTCCTTACAGGTGGTCTTACGTGGTCGTGTTCCTCTAGCTACCTGTCAAGCAGATTTCAGACTTACTAGTCTTGTGCTCTCTTGTGCTGCACAAACAATAGTTAGTACTTGGTGCATGCTTAACTTTTTAATGTAAAGAAGCAGGAGTATTATACAATCAACAGTGCTAGAGCTCAATGGAAGTAAAAATCATTGTTGAATGATCAAGTAGCTGATCTGTTAATATAACTTTTTTTACTTTCAGTGGTAAGAGACTTCCAGGAATATATAGAACCAGGCGAGGATTTTCCAGCTTCTCCACAGAGAAGAAATACTTCATTACAGGAAGACAAAGATGACAGTGTGATTTTACCCCTTGGTGCAGATACACTAACATGTAACTTAGGCATTCCAGTAGTAGTAGTTTGTACAAAGGTTTGTTCCACATTTCAGTTCTTTTGCATATTTTATTTAAGCAACTTTGTCAATTACGGGTGGAAAGCACTTGGTTATTTTTCATTCTGAGTACCTTGCATAAGAATTCTTTAAAAATGTGTAACGCTGAAGGGTGGTTATCTTCAGAAAGCCCCCATTGCATGTCATTTTGGGATTAATTTTTCGTTTCATTCTACCACTTTTAAAGGAATTGAGAAACACGTCAGATCTAGTTTTCCTCACAGAAGTGAGCTGGTCAGTCAGCAGCTAGGATTCCCCTTGATCTCCACAGTCCTTGTGATTCTGCAAATAGTGGTTTGGTAGGGTTTTTTTTTTTAATATTTCAGATCTTTTTCTGAAGATTAATATATTTGAGGGCTCTAGTTAGTTAAGTGCTGCTACGTTAGCTTTCCTCAGTTCTTGGGATGTTTCTGTGATCTCTTTCGCTTTTTGTTAGATATGTAACTATATTCTTAGCCATACCTTTAGATTGTTTTGTTGATTAGGTTGTTTTTCCCACCCCAGTTCTCATTGGCATTAAGCATACTGCATCTGCAGCCTCTGCTGGCCCACAGTGAAAAGCTAAACCTTTTGATGAATATATTGTTCCTTCACTGGAATGCAAACTTTCTCATTTGTCTTTTTTTCATCTGCTAGTTCTATTATGTACTTTTTTTTTTTTTTTTTCTGCTTCCACATTTCTTGATTTTTGCCTCCCTTTGCCAAAAGGGAGGTTAGTAACTGGATAAAAAACCCCCACTATGTCCTGTACTACCACAGTGTGTAAAAAATACATTTGGAGGAAAATGATGGTGTCATTCAGTAGGTCAGTCTTTCAACAGAGACTTTTGAGTTGCTGCTTTATGGGGGAGTGAATGAAAAATGACAATCCCTTGAACTCCCAAGTTAGGGCTGATCACATATATATTATATATTATTTAAAAAAAATTAAATTATGCTTTTAAACTATCTTAGCAGGTTTTGGTTTTTTTTCTGCACCACTGCCCCAGTCCATCCCCCTTGTCCAGCTATGAACTGGATGTGTAGCAGCACTGCTATTTCAACAGGTAACTGAAAGTGGTGTGTTCATGTTGTGTGTTTTGATAGTGTGATGCCATCAGCGTTCTGGAAAAAGAACATGACTACAGAGATGAACACTTTGACTTCATTCAGTCACATATCAGACGGTTTTGCTTACAGTGTATCCTTTATCACATCTTAAAGATGATAATGAGTCAATTATGGCAAGCTTAAAAGAGTATTTGCACCTGGACCAAAGTAGAATGCAACTTCTTTACTGTAGCTGGCAGTCTGCTTTAGTTACACTTGCAAGCAATATTGAATTCAACTTTTCTGTTTTTTTTTTTAATTTTGGTTTGGTGGGATTTTTTTAAAGAGCTGCAAGAATCTAGTGTGTCCCCTTACCAAGAATGTCTTTACTTGCCATGTTTACTTTCCATGTTTGGGAGTCACCACATCTTGCTACCAAGTTCCCTCAAATAACAAAAGATAATTCATTTAAGTATGATCTTGCTTCAGATGCAAATAAGGCATGTTCTTTTCGACCTAAATGTGCAGTCTCTTCAGGGTTCAGTAATTGCACAAGATAAGGTGATAAGGACGCCTGGACACGTTCCTGTGTAACCTTATCTAGGTGTTCCTGCTCCGGCAGGGGGATTGGACTAGATGATCTTTTGAGGTCCCTTCCAATCTCTAACATACTGTGATACTGTGATACTGTGATAAGGGAAGGGAAGAAGTGTGAATTGCTGTAGGAAAGATCCACTGGCTTCTCTGTGTTGCTACAGAGACAATGCACATAAACAGTAATAGCACAGCAATGGCTTTTAAACTTTTTTAAACAAAATGTATAAAATTCTGTTGAGTGTTTAGTCAGCAAGACATGCTGAGATCTAGATTTGTAGATGACGGAAACACACATGCATCGTGTCATAATAATTTGTGCTTTGATAAAGGGAAGTGTAAATGCAATTGGAGAGACCACACTTAACAGATGGACACATTAGTTCAAGAACCTGAGGACTCAGTTGAGCACTAGGATAGCACTTCCTTCAATGGACTTCAAAGACCTAATTTTTCAAACTGGAATTAGGGATAATTGTGATAGGTCTTGTGGATGAAGAATGAAGAATGCTAGTAGGAATTAGTCTCTGTAATAGTATATACCATGTACAACTTGGAGTTCTATTCTAAACATCACTGAATGGGAATCAGATCCCACTATATAACTTTCTTCTAGAATTTGAATTATATGCATGTAGAAATACATTTGGGGGGTTGGCATTTTTATAATCCCAAAGTAAAAATAACTCAAAATTTCCCTGGCTGATTTTATTAATCCTGTGCATAAACTGTGTTAATTTGATACTGAACCATGTTGGAATATAAGCGCTCCCTTGGTCTTTTAGTAACTGATATACAGCACAATTTGTTTGCCTTCATTTTGTTTGAAAGCAGGTCCTCCCCTAATTTGAAAACTCAGGTGGGGAAGTGGAAGGTCTTTGGCATTTCTGAAGCTGTATTAATGCTTCATTAATGCTGTAGTGTCCCTGTTGCAGGGTGTGCTAACAACAAGATATAAGGCTATGGCATGAACATCTTTCTTCACTAAAAGCAGAAGGCAGTTCTGAAAGTATCGTAGTGAAACTGTTGGTATTACGGGCTTTGAAAATGAGAAAAGCCTGTGCTTTACTCTAAAAGTGATGGCTGAATTGGCCTAAAACAAATGCAAAAGATTTAAATTACTAAGTAGCCTATTTAAAAAATCTAAGTGTCAGGAGTTGTTTGACTTACTTGATCTTGTATTCCCCCTCTAAATTCTACAAACTAAATAACCTTTAAACTAGCAAAAAGAAAGTCACTTTAGTATCTCTTACTAGCCACTAAACTGAGTTTTCTTTAACAAGTTTATTCAGATGGGGCAGCACTTATTTACACTTCTGTAAAGGAGAACAAAAACATTGATTTAGTGTATAAATACATAGTCCAGAAGTTGTATGGATTTCCTTTCAATGTTCCAGCTGTTGTTGTGGAAAAAGATGCAGTATTTATGTAAGTTACCTGCGTTATTATGTTCATATGAGTATGGAATGTATTTTTGTAATTTAGAACCATTTAGAACTCTTTTTGTTTCTGCTTTCTTAAGTTCCGTAACATTCTCATGAACTGGAGTCTGGTGAGCACCAGTGGATTGAGGTTACAAATATTTGCTGCCCCAGAGAGAAATGTTAACCCAGGGATTTTGTTCCTATCTGTTATGGTGAACCAGTCCCTGACTATCTGTACAGACCAACATTAGCCCTCACAGGAAAGCAGGAGCTATGAGAACTTCTCTGGCTTTGAGTTCTGTACACTTCAGGATTGCATCCAAGATCAGCCTGAAGTAACAGAATTTAAAGCTAAATAATCCTTCATCTAGTCCTTCAGGTTGGGATAATGACAAGAAGATAGGAATATTGCACGAGAACTTTCAGACACTAAAAGCAGACGACAACTTTGAGGATATCATAACAAAACCACCGGTGAGAAAGGTAAATTGAAATGTTTTGGCATTCAACTTCTTGTCTGTTTATTAACCTGTCAGTTTTTTGACTGTTTCTCTGGGACTTTGCTTCCAGTTTATCATAAGAGTGTGATGAACTGGGGTGGGTGTGGGGGTGTGTGTGTGTGTGTGTGTGTGTGTGAAATGAGGGGGGTCCTTATTTTGTCTTTATTTTTTAATTTTCTTTCATCCTCAAAAAATCCTGTATTCTTGTTCTGTACAGCTCTTCTCTACCTTACACTGTTGTGTTGGTTTTGGTTTTTCCTGCCACTGTTACATTATTCAAGACTACAAATAGTTTGCTTTTAATACATATTTTGTATTGAACAGTGTAATTTAACTTGGCCAGGTTGAGTTAGTATTTTTTAAGTACACTATATTTTTTGCTCCAAGTTGCCCATAACTTCATAATGCTTTCTGCTGGAGTATTTAAAATAAAAAATCTTGAGGCAGTGTAAAATGAAAAATAAGCTTGAGAAATCAGGTTCTACCTATTCAGTATATTTTCTGTCATACTATTTAACAAAAGGTTTTGGCAGAACTGCCTGAAAACACATGTGAGGTGGTTGAATAAAATGCCAGCAGCAGTGGACCTCAGGCATACAAAAGTTACTGAAGGCAACTATTTCTATGGCTTTTTCTAACAAAGCTAAGGATTTGGGACTAGTCATATTTCCAAGTGTGAATTATTTTAGCTGAGAAAAAAAATACTGTGTATTTTCTGCAGTCATCAGGGGAAGAGTCAGGACATACATAGTAAATACAACTGACGAGGTTTCTTTGCATGCTTATACACTTCAGGCCTGGGTTATAAACTTTGATGTTGATATTTGCTGTGCTTGTTTTGTCAGGTTTTGTGGTGAGCTTATTTGTAGGGAGAGTGCTTGTGATTTGATGCTTACAACTGGGATCTGAGATGTCTTTGTCCAATTTACCTGCATTGCATTAGACTGGTATATGAAGAGTCACTTTTTCCATAGTTATCTATAAACCATTATCAAGGTGGGGCCTCTTAAGATAGAAGTGAGCATGCTGCAGAAGGTGGGATCTGTCAGTGATTCTTATTGATCCCAAGACCCCTGAATGTGCCTTGTAACCACTTATGTTGTT